ATGAGCCCGGCTTCTGGATGAGCAGCACTCCCCCTGAGGGAACTCATTGTACCTCCAGGCCCTGGTTGGTGTGGATCAGTAGTTAGAGTGTCCTCCCACGCACCAAAGGGTCATGAGTTCGATTCCAGGTGAGGGCACATACACAGGTTGTGGGTTGCTTGGGGAACTGATCGATGTTTCTCTTTCTCTTTCCCTCTCCCTTCCTCTCTCTCTAGAATCAATGAAAAGAACATATCCTTAGGGGAGGACTTAAAAAGAAAAAAAATGCTGGTTTGGTTGAGTGGATAGTGCTTCTGCAGGCGGACTGAAGGGTACCGGGTTGGATTCCAATCAAGGGCACATACCTGGGTTGTAGGCTCAATCCGGACCCTGGTCGGGGATTCAGCAAGAAGCAACCAATTGATGTCTCTCGCATTAGTTTCTTTTTCCCTCCCTTCCACTCTCTGGGAAAAAAAAATCAATGCAAAAATGTCCTCAGGTGAGGATTAACCAAAACAAACCAACAAACACCCATCCCCAGTGTGATTATTGAAGGAGCATATGAAGTATTTGTTGAATGAGCGGGAAGGGATGGGACTTCACTTTCTAACTTTTTTAGCAACTCTGCAAGCCAGAGGGTTTATTTTTTATTTAAATTTTTATTGATTGATTATTTTAGAGAGAGGAAGGGAGCAAGAGAAACACCAGTGTGTTGTTCCACTTATGCACTCTTTGGTGGCTTCTTGTCTGTGCCCTGACCAGGGATCCAACCCGCAACCTTGCTGTATCGGAAGAAGGTTCTAACCCACTGTGCTGTGTGCTGCCTGTCAGGGCCCCTCAACAAAACCCCTCTGGGTGCCCTGGCCCCTGCTGTGGGGCGGAGCTCCTCTGCCACAGCAAAGGGTTGGGTTCCATTCTGCCAGGGCACCTACTTAGGTTTCGGGTTTGATCCCCGGTTGGGGCTGACTGCTGCTCAGGAAGTGACTGAGGACCGTGTGCTCTAGTCATTCGGTGGGGAGCTGGGGTTCCATTGCCAACCTGGCCGACTCTGATCCCTGCTACCCCCGCTCCTACATCAAGGACGACTTCAACTATGGCAGCTGCATGGCCTCCGCCAGCGTACACATCCACATGGGTAGGTCACCCTCTCTGTGGCTCGCCAGGCGTGGCTGCTGCGCAGTTGCCCCAGAGGCGGATTTCCGGGTTCCCAGGGAGAGCACCCTCCACGCTGGACTCCCAGGGAGAGCGGGGTCGGAGGGAAAGCACTTCGCCTGGAGCAGAGCACCCGTCCTGTGCAGGGCTCGCAGGGTTTGTGTCTCTGATCCAGCCCCAGCAGCCCCAGCACCAAGGTGGTGGGCCTTGGGGCTGCTGGGTGCTGGGGCTGCTGGTTAGTGTCTCCGATCAAGCCCCCAGCAGCCCAGCACCAACTCAGGGGCTTGGGGATGCTGGGTGCCAGGCTCCCCTGCATGTTTGTGTCTCCAATCTGGCCCCCAGCAGCCCCAGCACCGAGGTGGCGGGGATTGGGGCTGCTGGGGCCTGACGGTAGACATAAACACACAGGGCTTCTGTTAAGCTTCGCTGCTCCAGCACTGGAGCCCTTAGGCTTCACTGCTTCGCCCGCTTGGAGCCTACATATGCAAATTAACTGCCATCGTTGTTGGGTTAATTTGCATACTCTCCTGATTGGCTGGTTAGCGTATGGAAGGTACGGTCAATTTACATGCATGCCTATTATTAGGTAAGATTGCCCAGTGGTAAATGAAACCTAAACACCTTAACGTGACAATTTTCCTTCATCAAGCTATGCCAAGACAAGTTGGCAAGGATGTGGGTTCGGAATGGAGTAGGTTGCAGGTCATATACAAGTGTCATAGCGTGGTAGCCCCCCAAACAACCGATCTCTTACAATTTAAGGGATTTTCTCTCTCTCTCTTTATTTTTTCTCTCCACAATCTTCTTTTCTTGCTCTTATCTCTCAAGTCACCTAAATCCAAATTGCTTCAAAGTCAATGAGTCAATGATTCACATGCCTAAATGTGGCATTTACCCTAACTATGTAGATGAGAGATTTAGGAGTCCCTTGAACAGTTGTTGGCCATCATCTTTTCTCAAGTCCTGTTGAGTAATCCACCTCATCACTCACACTGGAATCCCTTTGGTACTCTTTATTTTAGGGTCTTGACTAAATTAGATCATCTGGTTACAAATTCTTTAAAAAAATCAGTACACTCACTGTGTTCTATTAATCCAATTTTATAAAAATAATGACTACAAGATGAAGGGATACACATATACTGCTTATCTGTGAGTAGTAGAATTCCTAACGCTTATTCATTTTCTCTTTGTATTTTTTTTGTCTTAGAAATTACAAAATTTGAATATTTATTGCTTTGTAATGGGAAAAATAGCAATGCATTTGAAAATAATATGGAAAGGAAGCTGTATGTAATGTGAGATGGGAAAGGAGTCAGGGGAAGCCAATGCCTAGCTTGATATGTTGTTAGGTGCCTGAGGGTGCAAAGGAATTTAGGAGAAACAATAACACAATACTCACAAGCACTTTCTCTCTCTTTCCTGTCCTCTTCTCCCTGATTCCTTTTCTACCTCTAGCAGCATTTGGAGAAGACCTGTCTGGTGCCAGAACTTAACCCAAACACACACAGAGACGACCATGAAGCCCCGGGTTCTCCTCCTCATCATGTCCATCTGTGGGGTTGTGATGCTTCTGCCTGTGCTGGGAGGTGTCTGGAACTTAGGTGTGTGATGAGGGAGGAGGGTGTTCTGCCCAGGCCTGGGAAGTCGGCATAAGTGATTCAGGGCCCAGTTTCCAGATTCACCCTTCAAAGGACCAGAACCCTTCTTAAAGCAGAGACATCCAAGAAAGATTAGGTTGGATGTTCCCAATCTGGCATCCCTTCAAGCTCCCTCTCCCAGATCTGAAAACAATATTGGGTATCTGGAAAGGCAATGTAGCTTTTGTCTACATTCATTAGCTCACAGGAAGTGATATTTTCCAATGTCAGACCACCTTGGGTAGTGGAAACACCAGCACAGAGGTTCCCTCTGAGCCCCTATTTCAGAATCTCTGTGCCTGATCTGAGTGAGCCTTTGATGAATACCAAAAGGGTAATATTTTAACACATTCATTTAGTTTGAGGGGAAAAATATTTTAGACCAAGAAAAAATAGACAAGAGGAATAGGAGGTCCTTAGTGAGTCAAAGTTTGGGGTCTTTGATAAGAAAATGGGAATAATGGAGGGACAGAGAGGGAAAGTTCTTGACCAGTAAAAGATATGGAATTTGGGGAGAGGTTTAATGCTTAGGTGGTATCAGCAGGATGGACCTAGAGCAGTGGTTCTCAACCTTCCTAATGCCGCGACCCTTTAATACAGTTCCTCATGTTGTGGTGACCCCCAACCATAAAATTATTTTCATTGCTACTTC